ATATAATAAGATAATATTTACAGTTATCCCAAGTCAACAGAAGAAATAACTGTCTTAGGTTGGGAGCGAGGGACAAGGGAGGGAGAGAGACTGAACAAACGTTTTCTGAACTCAATGACTGGTTTGGAAATTTTCTATGGCTGCTGCCTCAGCTATGATTAGCAGCCGGAGACTTACCAACCTGGGGAGTTGAGGTAGATCCCTGTATACTTTTATTCCCAGTGGAACGCACGGCTTCAATCTAGAGGCTCGAAGTTTCAGCAGCATTTACATTTTATTTTTACGGGATGGGGTTGCTAACTTGCTGCCCAACCTCCCCTCTTTAACAGTCGTAATAATGGTTTAACGAGATGAAAAAGTGTGTGTTGGCCGGGAATAAAACCCCAAACCGCATGAGTGGTCGGCGAGCATTCTACAGCTGTGCCACCAAAGCAGATCCTTGTGTAGAATTGTAAAAGCTAAATTTTTGCCAATCTTATCCTCCCTACTCTCTAAGTGTTCTGATATGGAACTTCTGACTAACTTTAAGACTCCTTTAACCAACCGTGTTGAACGACGGTGAGCTTGCCAAGTCACTCTACCATATGTAACTGTCTCCACATGAACAGTTAAATTTTTTTAAATGCACATTGAAATGACCAGGCTCGGTAGATTATCCTCCACCTGCATTGGAATTATACGACGAGTGGCGGATTTTAAACATATTGTTGCGGTAAAGAATGTTTAAATCTGCTATACTTAAGAGCTTCGATGTCAGTAACTAAGTAACTGCATCTCTTTTGAATGGTGAAGTCAAATATATACGTTTCTTCTGCATACTTTACAGACATTTCTTTCTGCCTGTTCTCCTCATGGAGACTTTAACACATTTTTCGGGGTATACATTCTCACATATTAAATTTTCTATCTCTATATATCGTCTAGAGTGTTGTCTGTGCAGATTTTTTACCTGGAAACATCAGCGTACTGAGAGGATTTCATTTGTATGCAAGAGGAAGAAACAACTTGGAACGGATGCATTGGACAACCCATGATTTCTTCCGGAAAATGCCCTGCTTAATAGTGCTATCTCGCCTTCTTGTTAGTGAGACAATGAGAAATGATAAGGAGTTGTCCTAATCTGTTTTGTATGTGGACTCAATTTGCGGGTGAGCCATAGTGAACATTTGGAGAAGCACCTTGCCATCGATTTTATTATTGTGCATCATCCTTATATCTACAGTAGAAAGAGAGTTCGTTGATTGCGTTTTTTAGCGGACGATTCTCTAATTTCCCCAATAATTATATTGGCTAAGAGAGGATGTTTAATATATGTGTAAAACTTGGGCACTGTGGTAGTAAGTAATTCCATATTAGTTTGTTTATTAGGTATAACACACAGTGAAACAGCATTATTTACTGGATGACGTTTCGAACAAAATTTATTGTTCATAATCATATCAATTGATATGATTATGAACAATAAATTTTGTTCGAAACGTCATCCAGTAAATAATGCTGTTTCACTGTGTGTTATACCTAATAAACAAACTAATAGGGAAGAGGATGTTTAATTTTGTGTGATCGAACAATGTTATCGAAGAAATTTTCAGTTATTTCTCATAAGTGACCTTCGGTAACTTATCCTTTCTAAGGAAGGAGAAGGAAGACTAATCTGAGCTATACCAATAGGAGTCTTCGGTGTCATACGTGATTTATTTCACAGAATCTAATTATAGGTACACTTTCACTGATTAGGGGAAATGGAACTCAGCATATTAAGACAAAGATAATGAGTATTTCCATCTTCTTAATGGCAGCAGTCAATACCGTTAGTTCCGCAATCAACAACAAACACTACTGGCATGTCGTGTTTATAGGAATCTGAATAATTTTAGGTAAGGTGAGAAGTTTTTATGCCACGGTAACATTTAGTCTAAAATTCACATCGATGAACGTTTACCTTAAATGATTTTCAGTAGTATGAGTTTCACATCTAAATTTTTAAATACCTCTAGACTGTTTTTGTTGAAATAACTGATTTGTAAACATTCACTTTACAAGTTTTTATTAAGAAAGGTTTCTCTCACTTTCGCATGCCTTTAAAATGAATTTTTTAAATCTTCTGAGAATTTTCGACAGATATGAGTGTCGGCGAGTATTGTAACAATACTTACTGAATTTCTTTTGTTTGTCGCGAAAACAGTGCTGCACTCGGACTAAAATCCAAATGTACAGTAAGTGCTATTCGATTGTTTCCTACTTTTCTCGTAATTTTAACATGTGTTCAATATGAATATCCTACAGATTTTTCTTTGCTTGGATTTCTTTTAAGAGATAAGTGCTCGAAAATAACTAGTAGCATTTTTAAATTATTCCTAAGCTTACATAAGTGACAGAGCTTGCTTTTGCACGATCTCATAGCTATTAGTATTACTAAATTTTACTTAACTAAATTAAGATACAACTCAATACTCCTTGATTCTCAATGAATTTTTAACCGATATCAGTTTCTGATGAAATCTGCACTGAGATTAATCAAATCTCTACAAGCACAGCATTTGCACAATTGCAAATGTGTTCATTTTTGATCCTAGTACTTCTATTTTACTTCATATACATATATATATTTAAAATTAATCAATTTCTTCTGAATATTTGGATCACATATACTGTTAATGTCCTGAGGAAATTCGACCACTGAAATCGACTGATTTCCCATAAAATTATTTAAAATAATTCCGCTATCTTTTATGGTCAATTTCAAGTGTTGGCAGGCAAAGTTCTTCATGAACGCGCAGAGTTTAAGTAATTTCCATGAAGTGGATATTCCTTTAAAACAGCTTCTAGGTCGCGACGACCTTTGATCTGATGCATTCATCAGAGAATGATGTGTTATACATCCTAAGACACATTGTTTAACAATTAGAAATAGAAAACCAATAACTCTGTCTTGAGAAATATTCATAACTTGGACATGACTGAATAAGGAGAATTAATACAGAGGAGAACGTGGACGTCAAGACCCACAAAAACTTTGAACTCACTAGCTTCTGTGAACTGTTGTGTAGTCGCAAACAGAAACGGAATAGCTGTTCAGTATTACTTACTATTCGATGTGGCTGAGAACCTAATTTGACTTCCACTGCTTCAACATTATAGTCACATCGAAGAAGGAAACGTCGTTTCATGAAACTTAAACTAAAGTTATGATTATGCAAAACTGAATCCACTAAATTGAGTGTGTGATGAAGAAACCAGTTACTTGAATAGCGGTTAAATGGTGAAAACGTCGTAACCACTAAAAAATGGTTACTTTGATCAACAACATTAAATTCGGTAACTTTCATATACAAGAAGAAGAAACATAACACTGACAATAACGACCTCAAACACTGTGATAAAAACCCAGAAATTAACATAGCGATACCTACTGCAATAACAAATAACATATAATACAAAAATATGTTATCAAAAGTTACTTTAATATTCAGTTGCTTGAAATTATATTTCAATAATATTTTTCATAGAACCGAGTCACGTAAGAGTAGATGCTGCTTGTTCACTGGAGAATTGCTGATTCGACCGTTGATAGTTAATGACATAAGATGAGAAATCACCTGTAAGTTTCCATGGATTGACCAATGAGTAGAGGGTCTACAGAACAATCAAACTAAGTTATAACACGAAATTGATAATAAACACATGTATTAAGTACGCTGAATGCACCAGAAATTCTTTTACTTGGGATGTGTGGACAACAGACAAACATTCGATTCTACCGAGGAATAAGGAAAATTTTTTTTTTTAATTATTATTGACAGAAAGAAATGTTATTTTTAACCTAAAAAATCACATAAAATTGTAATAATGTTCTTCACATACTGTGTAGAAAGTGCATTGTTCATATGAACTGTCTAAAAATCCTGAAACGGTCCATTATTAGGTGGTTGGAGGCAATCGGCAAGAAGCCTTGGACCTATTTTTCGTGCTGTTTGGCACTCGTCAGCAAGGCGTATGTGCAATCTTGAAGGAATTTATATCCCTTCTGAGATTCGAACCCGCGTCATCCAGTGTTGCAGTCAGAGACGTTACCACTGAGCTATTCCGGCTCGCTATTGACCTGCTGTAGGACTGTAATGGATACTGTGATTTGACACTAGTAACTAGTGTGATGTGTCTAGTCCTTTTTTGATGCAGACTGAATTGTATCAGTCAGGTTTGGATTTTGGCCACCATTCTAGGTAGCTCGCTATTACGGTGCACATAGCCCGGCAGTAACGTCTCTGACTGTAGCACTGGGCAACGCGGGTTCGAATCTCAGAAGGAGCATGAGTTCCTTCGAGGTTGCAGATATGCCTTGCTGACGACTGCCAAATAGCACGTAACCTAGGTCGAAGGCTTACTGCCGATTGCCTCCTACTATCTAATATAATCAAATCAATGCGCACCATGATGGCGAGCTACCTAGAATGGTGGCCACATTGCAAACCTGACTGAAAGAATTCAGTCTGCACCAAAGAAAGGACTAGACACATCACACTAGTTACTAGTGTCCAATCAAAGGGTCAATTAACCTTTTGTTATTCAGACTGACCGACTGAATATTATTAGAATATTATTTTAAAAGAAAAAAATTTCGTTACCATTCATACATACTGATGCTTTGCCTTGCATACGAAGTGAATTTATTTAGTGTAACATATTGTAGCAGTTCTGTGTGTTTATGAATTGTGCTATTTTATGGTAATATGTTATATTTTAATATAGAGTTGTACTACACAACATTCCAAAACCTCTACTTCTCAATGTATGTTTTATTACTAAACTAGACAGGTTGGTTGGTTAATATGATTACTGTATGAAATAACCAGCGGTGTTTACTTATATAATTTACTCAAATAAAAATAATGAAAGCTTTGGGACATGAAAATTAATGTGTTCACTAGGCACTGACAGCCTGCTGTTTGTATCATTTGACTGAGTTTTCCATGTATAACTTAGTATAAATTCAGTGTGGTTCATTGTTGCCATGAGATCGTATATAAATAAAAAGGCCAAGAACTCGTATTTAATCAGTGTAATTAAAAGCAAAACGGCAAGGAATTTATTTATTCATAATGGTAATTCAGTCTAATAAAATATGAAAAATATGAAAACAAAATGGTGTTAAGAAAAAAACTGAACACTATACAGTTGGGAAATCAGAAAATGCACATTTGCAAATATAAAGCACTTCCAAATATTAAGAAATTACATTGAAAATCACTAAATGTGTAAGTGAAATGACCCTGGAAACGCAACCAATAAACTAAACGATAATCGTCAGCTTCAAACTTCAATGATACGGAAACCAGTCAAAATTCTCAAAATAAATTCCTTCAATTATAAACCAATGGTTAATTAATTCCATTATTTAAAACTACCCGTTTCCCAGTCCATTAAATCTGTACTTACACTTGCCGGCAAACTGATAACATCTGTTAATATATCATCTTCTTGGAAATAAAAAGGTACGATGCTCAAACTTTTGAGTTGAATATTTAGTTTGTTCAATACTATACCAAGAAAGGCGTCATCAATACGCATATGTTTAGTAAAAGCACTGGCGACAGCCACACGCTTTACAATACTTGAACCTAAAATATACGTAGCTCCTTGAAAATATGAAGGAAATCTCTTCCATGGGAATTCTGTCATTGTAAGTGCCCACAAACCATTAATCTCTTCTCTTGATTCTGGTCTCAACACTTCAGATGACGAAAACACATACCCACCAGTCAAACTTCTGAGATATTCCTTCGAATGACTCCTATAGAACTTTACAACATTTCTCGGAACCAAATCATAATCATCATCAATGAAAAGAAACAATGGAATCTGTTCAGAACAAAATGCTGATAGCCAACGCACAGTAAATATCAGCTTCGTAGTCAAGTTGAAGTATGTGTCATGAAAAAAGCCAACCAGGAGATCTTCGTATTGATCAGCCTCTCTAACAAGTCGTTTCATGAATGTCCACTTCTCATTATCATGCTTCTTCGACGATGTCCACCAAAAGTGTTTCAGTCTGTGTTTATATCCATCAATTACAAATATGTTTGACTCACCAGGATACGGTATGCCTACAACAAAGACGAACTGAACATTGATGCCTGTCCACAAGTGTTTCTGCATAAATGTTTGTCGCACACGTGAACGTTTTTCGGTACAGTATGTGCAAGACTTGATGACGACGACTAGATCTGGCACGATTTCTTTCTGGCATGGATTGCATGTACGTTTTGGTGATCGAAAAACGAACAGTTCTGGATTGTTTATTGGCAGCTGGAAAAATAAAATCAGCCATAGCTGGTGATTGGTGTGTCTGTATTACTTAGTATAATTATTAGAGTTAGAAAGATATCATTCAATTACTTTCTTTTTGTGTAATCTTGTTTGTTAGTCTTTCAGTTTATGTACAATATGCAGAGTAAAATATAAATAATTAAGTTAACATACATTAAATTAATTTATGTAGGTAAGAACCCGCAGAATTGTCTACATTTTTGTGATCTGTGTAATTGTAGAACTTGGGCACTGTGGTAGAATGTAATTCCAGATAAGATAAGTTTATTTTTAAGTATCACATAGTGATGCAGTATTAATAACTGGATGACGTTTCGAGTATAAATTACTGTTGCTCATAATTAGTCACACGGTTTCACAATTTGTTTGATATGTATTTCCTTTCTTTCTGTCTCTACAACTTTCGCGAGTGAGAGCTTAGTCATACTTTTGAGTTCAGGATAAATGTTCAGTTCATTCCTAACTACCTTCAGAGATGTATTAATGGGAATATTAGCATATAGTCTGGTTATATCTAAACTAATCATTTTCTCATTTTTTTCCTAATTGAATTTCTTCTAGTTTCTGTTTCATTACATAGGAATTAGTTACTCTAGAACTTGACCTTTCTCTAAGGGAACATAGTGTTAATTCTAAATATTTAGATAACTCATACATCAAGGTGTTCCCAAAGTGAAATTTTATTGTCCCATACATTCTACTAGGATTATAAGTTTTAGGCATAAGATTAAACGATTTTGACTCACCCAAGGATGACTTCATACAGAGTACTAGATCACTAGTAGATATTTTGATATTATTCATAATAGTGTTCACAGGTTTTTCAATTTCCTCACACGGGCCTGTTTCAATATGTTGACTGTTTTTGTTTATGTAGTCTGATTTGCCCATAACTACTGTTGCATTACCCTTGTCCGCTTTCGCAATGAGTATGTATTTGTCGTTTCTCAGGCTTTCTTTCTGTGGTAAGTTACCTCTTCCTTTCTTTTGACGTTTTAGTGTCAAAGCACATTGTGCTCTGACTTGTTCTGCTGATTTTTTTGCGCAGTCAAACAGAGATTTTAGATTTTAAAATGTACTGACTTAGTCCAACTAATTAATGATTGTCTTCATTTTTCAGAGTAAACGCCTGTGTATGTGAAGATGGCGATAACTGAGTTGAATCGCTACAGCATTTTCATCTTATACTGAATTTCATCACACTTGAAGTTCAATAATTTCAAAGAAGCAATACCTACACATTAATTACATGAACTGACTGGTCAAAATATACTACGTATTTATCAACATTTTTACTTTTATTCAATTAAAACGCACCTATTATACTCATTCAAACCAAAAAGTATCCAGAGAGTAAGATCTTCAATAAGATTTGGGGTAGGTGCCACAAGTCATTCATAACCTCACTCATTAGCCATATGATGATGTTTCACACTAAGTGAAGACAGGAGTAAGACGAGGCTGCTTAATATCACAAATTATATGTCGGATCAAAATGCAGTGAAGAGCCATAAGATTGGCATAGTTTGCGTGGACAAGTTGACTGTATACAATATGGATTTCAAGCATCATTTATGTCTAGTGTTGTACAAATTTAAAGATATACACGAGGAAATTAACATTTTTGAACAAGAAAAAGCAGACAAGAAGGGACTTTAAGTGAACACAGAAGACAGAGCTGACTAAGATACTCAAATGACCAGCAACTACAAACACTAATCACCACTGACGAGAGAAATCTAAAGGAATATTCATACTTCCGAATTTTCAGAACATTTAGTACCAATATTATGTCCAAAAACGGTTGACTATATTATGAAAACGATTCATCTAGAAGAAACGTTTCTTTGCTGTTTACGTCTTTTTCTTATGAACCATTAGAAATAGTTCATACAACAGGGTAAATAATTCATATGAAATGAAAAAGGAACCAAAAGATATTCAGTTGGTGAAGAGTGAAAAAATGGCCACTTTTGCTATAACTAGTCTTTACACCAATATACCAATCAATACAAACTTAGAAGCACTTAAAATATAACTAACTGCTGATCTGGAACTTACTCATAGGATAAAGCTACTCACTGAGGAAATTATTTTAGGAAATGAATTATGCATCACGTCTACTATCTTTATATTCTAGGGCAAAATATATAGGCAGTCAGGTGTCGCAATCGGAAAATATACCTCTTAATACATTTAATGCTACTCCATAGATATGGTGAAGATATGTGGATGACATTTTCACAGTGTTAAAAACATAAAATATCTTTAGCTTCTTCACACATATAAACTCACTAGTTAAAGGGAATAAAATTCACATTTGAATCAGAAAATGAACGAAGATAATTAGCTATGTTAGACTGTGAAATAAAACGATCAGAAGAGGGTAAATTGCACGCTAGCAATTGTAAAAATCCAACCCACTCAAATAGATATTTAGATTTGAATTCATCTCATCCGTTGTCTGTAAACGCAGACCTAGTTAAGCGTATAATAAACCGAGCAAAGTGCTAAGTAGTGCAATAAAAAGCATAAACGATGAAATAAAGCAGATAGAAAGGGCGTCAATGTTAAATAACTAACTATCCTATAAAATTCATTAGCAGTACCAAAAAAAATCAAAACGAAGGTAAAATTAATGGTGAAACTAATAATGATAACATAAATAAGAAGCAATATCATGCATCTACAGTTTTATCATATAAGGAGCGGACATCTGAGATGGGATTCTTAATAGAGCAGGAATAAGAGTGACGTTCAAACCTAAAAACTCACTCAGAGACAAGCTCTACACCCTAAAGGACTTGGTGGACTCACTTTACAAAGTACCTTGCAATCACTGTGAGGCAACATATATGGGTCAAACTAATACATAGGGGGTAGTCAAAATGTTAGACCATAAGAACCAAGCTAAGGCTGGGAAAGTGGCCATCGCTGATCAACACTTCTGGTTGTCATCATGTAAAATGACAACTCTTCACAAGCTTTCACACAAATGAGTGAGTTCGAGTAGTATGCGGTATGCTTTCTCGACACTCCATTCCGGTGACGCCAACTTAACCTATCGTTCAGATGAAAAGACCTCAAATATTATTATCTAAAAACGTATAGAAAAACCACCTGTCAGTAAAATGAACACCCAAGTTCCCATCTGATAAGATCACCGAACCAGTGTGAAGAGTGTATGCAAAGTTACAGTAGGTTTATTAGGAGAAAACTGAACTAAATCGAGCAGTACCCAATAGTGAGTACTTGCAAATTTTGTGTTTGGTAAGGCTAATGTAGAATAACATAACCTCAAAATAACCAGTCGCTTACAACTGGTGAATTCGAGTGTCACCTACATGACATATCTAGAACTTGGTTCATTCATATTCCCACCTACTCAGTGGCTCTATTATTTTCTCTTATCTTGCACGACAGGTTGTTTTCATTCTTGTGTTTGTTTGCGTCCAGCTTGTGGAGGTCGGAAAATATCAAATTATATGTCCATTGTAAAATAGCAAAATCAATGAATTCACTGCACATTATCGGTGCTAACTGATATACTGAACAAGGACTCCATCCAGTTCACCAAACACCACCGACGATGCAACTTCCCTTCTCCAGCTTTCTGCTTCTCTCTATTGCCAATCATCGCTGGTCAGTACCTGATCGTCCATCCACGTGTTGAATCTTTGGATTCACCCTCCTTCTCTCTTCGCAAGTACCCCACCGGCAGTCGACGTACCCTTGCGTGGAGTGAGCAGCTGCATACCAAAAGAGACTACTTCATTACTTCAACTCTTCACGACTTTATTTGTGTATTTTCGAACAATTATAACTCACAAAATAACTGCACATTTTATATGAATGTATATATATAATTTGTTTGGACTGAATTCCTCTCCATATTTATTTACATAGATCTATACATACCTCATCACAAGTTCGGGTTTGTTTTGTTATTTCCATTTCCGTATGAACGAGCTTAGCCGGTCGGTCGATTCAAATATTTCATTCTATTTTCCCACCATGACTTATCACACGATCATGGTTGACAACGATTCTCCTTCGGAGATGGAAGTTGCACTTCAGCTGCCCACTATCTGGACACACCGACCATCTGCATGTTTCAGTTATGTGGAGACTCAGTTTTCTGTGAGGCGAATCTACTCGCGAGAAATTCGGTCAGACTTAGCTGTTGTAATCCTCTCTCAAAATATTAGTGAGGATATTTCAGACGTTCTTCACGATTCCTCTCAACTCGTGTTTGTTCGTCTCACAGTCTCTCTAATCGAGAAATGTGTACCTACATGGGAACAAAAGGTGCCAGAACGCTTCAGAAGTGTGCGCCTAAGTTACCTCAAGCAACTGACGTCTATTTCCTGAAACAACTAAGCCTAAAAGGATCACCCCATATTGTGCAGGGAATCCTAGCACTCTTTCATAACTGCATTTTAATGAAGACGCCAGGGACAGTCGACAGAGCGATAGAAGCTACCTATTCCAACACATGTACTTCAGTTATAGTATCTAATGGTTTCCATCATTATAAACTTCCTTGTCTCCCCTCAATCAGTAAGTCTTCGTGTTTTGATGCGGTGGCTCATAATACTAAACTTTATAAAGTATTAGGAAGTATATCGGAGCTAGCGACCCCTTACTTAATCACATACCTCGTCCTCACAACAGATTTTTGTCACTTTCTGTGCATGAGCGATCTAATACACGAAACTCTCGATTCAAATATATGTCATGTGATTACGACAGTTCAAGTCGAAATTTACTTCGTCTACTAGCCCACATATCTTTAAAGTGAGTTATCAGTGCAATGTGTGTGCATGTTGCCAACTAAGTTCAAAGTCAGTGATCAGCTCATTCAGACTGAAAAAGTAACTCATCTGAGGATCCAAGTAATGTGAACAATGTTGACAGATATCACTTACTGCAGAGGAAATACAACGTTGTTGTCACTCGTGAGGTCAGCTGACGAGGACAACAGAGGAGAGATTGAAGTGGAGATGTGTAACTGAAGCCCTATGCTCCACTCAGAAATCAAGCAAATAATAGTAATAAGCTTCCATAAGAAATGCTAGTGACTTCAAGAAGCATATTTTTTCACCGCATTTAAAAGTCTGTCAACCGTTCCCTCTTGTAGTTCTTAAAACACTGAATTTACAGTTATCTCATATCACATGATTTTATTCAGATTATTTCTTTGTAAACACATTGATTTCTAGAGGCACTTTATTCAGGATACTGAGCTGAGATGACCAAATCTAGAGATTTACGAATGGGACTTTTCAATTCCTTCTCTAATATAGGACATTGTGTATCATGAAAATTTCTTTCTGTTTCAGATGAGGGAAATGACGTTATTCGGAGCCATTCAGTTATTTATATCCCCACTGACACCACCAAATCATTTCTCAACTACAAGTTATCAGATTTAAATGCACCACAAGCACGTGATTAGTCTGTGCTCATAAAGTCATTAAATATGAGGAGATTAGCACGATATACACATACGTCTCAAGAATCATTGAAAACATGATGTTACAGTCAGAAAAGCAACTTAGAGAACGAGCTTAGTGATAGTGCTCAGACCTATCAGACTACAAAAGTAACAAATCTGAGAATCAAACTAGTGTAAACATTGTTTACAGATACGACTTACTGTTTTGATAGGAATCCCTTTCTCAGCATCCGATATAACCTCAGCGAAATTCAAAGTCTGAGGATACAGAAAATAATCCGACGAACTGAGCACGGCGCTAGCCAGTCTCTTCTGAGAAGCTGCTAGCCAACTGCCCCGACTACGCTCAACACTTTTGTTCGAGATGAGCTCTAAGTACTGACGATAATATCTATTATCAAGTGGATTCTCAGCGTTTTTCGCAAAGGGAATGTTCAAAGCAAGGTTAACTACTGGTAACCGGTTGTCAATTAAATGAGTAATTGAACCTGGTGGCCAAGTTGATATAATTTCTCTTGAAGCTGACTCCTGTTGCCTGACTAGACTGTCCAACTCTTCAATACACTTAAGCCACAGACTTCCAGATTGTGTACACTCTCTGAAGTAGTGATTCTCACAAACTGCACCGGCCAGTGAATACTGATCAACAAATTTGTTGCTAAACAACCACAGGAGAATAGTACCTGCTATACACAAACATGTGATCAGCAAAAGCACACATCTGATAGACACCATTTTCGTTGTAGCTGGATGCAGACAGCAGTTTATTAAATTTACTCGTCTCCAAACAATAATAACACTAGTGAGGATTGACAGCTAATGATGACATGATATGTTTTGTTTAACAAACATGAAATCAAGAGTTATTATACTTCGAAGAATGTGAGCATTTTGGAAACTGAGGAATAGTAGTTGTTCTCTGGTTCAGTGTCGATGTGAAGCAGAGGATTTCGTGACTTCAGATTCACAGTGAGCAGTAACTTCCGATATCTTAAACGTAATATGTTATAAATAAAAATTTATTATGAAGCGAATATTTTGTTTGATACTCTATAATATAGAACGATATTTTCTCATTGAATATGATGTCGTGTTCAATCGGTGTAATGTGTGTTTCTTTCCTGTATATGCATATTTATAGTATATTTCAAAGCAAATAAAAACTGTAACCACCATTTTAATTGAGTGAATTGTGCAAACACACTTTATTTTGTTCTAAATTCTCATTGCGTTTGCATAATCAACATCTGTACTCATTTGATCTAAATTGTTAAAGCTCATTTGTTTACTAAGTTCGTCATATTTATTTGTCTAGTATACATTTCAGTCTAATTCTGCTTGTGGTCAATAATACTACTTAATCGATACTTCGTTTTCTCACCTCAAAATCTGCTTTATTAAATACATATTTATCGATGGATAAAGAAATTTTTTAATAGTTATTGCTGTTTGTGAATTTTTACAGTTGGAAAAGTTTAGAATTATGACAGGAAATCAGTTTCCCTGTTTCTCGAATTCATGTGAAATTCTCACGTACTTAATATTAAATAAAATGTACTAATTGTGAGAACCTAAACATACAATTCATTGAGTTAGAAACATGCTTTTAACAGAATCAAGAACTGGATACAATTTTCCCTGAATTCCCGAGATGTAGTGAAACAGTATTTAGCTAGAAGTGGAAAACATGTTAATTCAAGTGAGAAATATTCTAAACATATAAATCTCGTGAAATCGGATGTACAAAAATCGGAGGAAAAATCACCTTTCAGAATTTATAAAAATGAGGGACAGTAATTGCTCTCAAAAGTACGAGAGGATCAGTCAGTTCAGGATTCCTCTTCCAGTCGTCTGAAATGTGAAAAGAAAACTCAGCATCTGAATTTTCAAAATTATGCTTTGTCAGAAAATACAAAACATAAATTAATCAAGATTAGATATTCTTCTCGATGACATTTGTCAGGTTAAATGTGAGGTCTCCTAATGATTGCTAATAAAAAATGAAAAACAATACGACACACATAAATGTGCTTGACAAAATTAGATATCTGATGCCCAAAACGAAAATTATAATAAATCGATAGAGGTTGCTGCTAGAGGTTGTATTGATTCGACTGAGCAGTAGAAAAACCAACAGTTAAACGTTACCTCATATTCTCTTTTTCAATCTTAAATTAATATTATTATTATTAATCACAATATAACCTTGCCTTCAAAATGCAAAATGGAACTTAAAAAAATATCTCCACTTTGTTCTCCTTCTCCAATCCTCTTCAGCTGGGGCAACCATTGCCCAAACTCTCTCATCTCTTCCTCACACAATCTCCTCCATATCACCCTAGGACGACCCACTTGTCGATTCCCACTTGGATTCCACTCTAGCGATGGCCTGGCAGGATGTCATTAGGCGACCTCCTCAATGTATGCGCAATGCGTCTCCATTGTCTCCGACATATTTGTTGAGAAATCCATTCCTGCTTGGTTTATTCCCAGACAGAATTCCTTGTTGCTTATTCCTTCTGGTCGGAAATCTGGACTTCAGTATACAGCCAGCCAGCGAAGTGGGCAGCTGTTGATAAAAGACTGCGGTAACCTGTTGGAAATCATTTTCGTGCAGTGCAATTTTCTGACGCGTATAGGAGAACCGACCGACTTCACATTTGTTTTGAAAATCCGAATCTCGTTCTTTATGCTGGCTGAATGCAGGAGATTTCCAAACTGGGTTCACGTGGATGAAGGCGTGCGTATCTTGCCTTTCCGATTCTGACTGGTTGGCTGGCTGGCTGGCTGGCTTTGACATCTTCATCCGTTCCGACTACCTGTAGTTGGAAGGATGCTGCATAGCTAGACAAGTGAAGGCAGGAAGTAGCCTCTGTTAATTCTCTCCCGTTGATTGTGATTGGTGTTGTTTGTCGTTGCTGTTTCTGTTGTTGTTGTTGGTGGTGGTGGTTGGCTATCTTCACCACCTACGTCATCTCTATGTTCACTTGGAGTCCTGTCTTCGCTGCCTGCCTGCCTGCTTCTTCAGCCAGTTTGTTGCTTTTCACCTGTAAGTCTTCGAGTTTGTGTGACATTATGCATATATCATCCACACACGAAATCCACATCTTCTAGAGTCTTCTTAACGGTCAGTGCAGCGTATTCCTGTCTTCTCACTCTCAACGCACTGTCTGACGCATAATCCAGTCCACCACAATGAGGAATATTATTGGTCATAATAGGCAGACAGGCTGGCTGGTTGACTTGTCTTACTCCTGTATGCACTTCGAACGACCGGCTGAGTTTCCTTTGTGGATCACCTGACACGTTGCATTGTCATATAGCCAGCCGTTGAATGAGGTTGACAAAGACTTGAACACTGCACGTCATATTGTTGAGGCAGTTTCCAAATTACTTCTTGGTCGACGCTGTCTGTCGAAGGCATTTACGAAGTCGAAGAAATTGAGGTAGAGAGAGGTTTGACAGTCATTCTCTGCTTTCCTCTGTGATGACGATGCGTAGAGTTGCAATTTGATCAGCACATGATTTGCCTTTGATGAATCCACCTTGTTCCAGCTTGGGTGGCGGAGTTCTGTATCCAGTTCATCTTTTATTCTCTCCAGAACGATGTGACATAGTATTTTACTTGGCGTAGACAAGAGCATTATTTTATGCCAGACTTTGCAGAGGCCTAAATAGGTCTGCCGTTTTGGGAGCCTGGTAAGATAACCTTTCTTCAAATCAGTAGGCACCTTGCCTTGTTTCCAAGCCCTTTGCTCTATTCCCAGACTTCAGTAGCTTGATTGTATTCAGGATTTCTACTTTTGTTGGAGGACTGGTGTCCACTGTCAGGCAGTTCTGTGCGTGTTGTTGGTGTTAGTGGTATTTCTGGGCGATTTGTAGGTGATGGTCGATTTAGGAGTCCTCTAACGTGATCAGCCTATTGTTTACTTTCTTTCTCCTCCTCGGTAATCAGGTTCCCTTGATCATCTTTTATTGGTTCCATCATTTGGCTTGATCTCTTCCCCGATACGGATTGACCTGTTTATCTGATATAGTGTCATGATGTCACTTTTATCTGCAGTCCACCTGTTCTCCTTCAGTTGCTGGACAGTGTGTCATAGAATTGTCTTTCGTCTTTTCTAGCAATATTCTTCACATGTTTCTTGATTCAGTGCAGTGTATACTGAATTCAGCTTTTCCTTCTCCCATTGTCCATCTTTGCATTGAGTCATATTCTCTATCACCATCCTCATCTCCTCTCCTCTCCCCGCTTCGAATAGCTTCCAGGTAGGTGTTTGTTGAGAGCCATTCCCTGTCTAGTCCCTCTCTTCTCCCTAGAACAGTTGTACACATTTCCTTGAACATCACTTTCTGAGAGTTAGTCCCAATGTTCTTCCACGCAGGTTTCCTCAGTGATACCACGTAGTGTCTCCGACTTCACTCTGACCTGATCTGCAGTGAAGGTATCCGGTTGTAGTTTCGTCCTTCAGTTTCTTAATGTTGAACTTGAACTGCAGTTTCCTGTCCTCAGTTGTTCTGAAGGATTTCAGCTTCACTTTGAAGGCTCCTTGAAATGGATGATGTTCTGAGTCCACATTCCCTCCCCTTCTCGACTTTGTGTCCAGCAGGCTGGCTGCGTCTCCCCTTCCTTGAGCAACACTGAGACGAAGTCTATCTGGTTTGTGGTATGTCCATCAGACGAACCCCATGATGCTGACCTTGTGTATATCCTTGTGTTTGTACACACCACCTCCGATCACCAGATCATTGAAAGCGCAGAAGTCTGCGAATAATTCTCCGTTCTCATTCATTACTCCGAGCGATAGCCTCTCGACGCATGATGAGTTCTCTTCTTGTATTATTTGCTCCCAGTTCGACTGGCATTCATATAACCCATGAGGATTTTGATGTCACTATTCAGGATGTTGCCCATTACTGTTTGCAGTTGTCTATGAAAATCTTCCTTCTCCTCTTGTTCCGCACATGGATACGACACACGCCAAGATGACCGTTGAGTGACATCGCACGACAATTCTCGAGTGGAATAGAATGAAAAACGACCAGTTGGTAATCCAATGGTAACATGGGAGATATCGCATGAGGTGGAGATGTTAACTTATGATCAACTGAGAAGGACAGCAGAGAAGAGAGTGAAATGAAGGTGTGTTTTTGAAGCCCTATATTCCTCTCGGAACCCAATGTAATAGTAATGATAATACATGAGAATGAAGTCTCTTCCAAAGTCCTATAAAAATGCTTGCCCTTGCTGGAGCAGGTCATTCGTTTTTATTCGTAGGAATATTATGAAATTATTTAATGTAGACGAAAAAATTGGCCAGTGTTGTTCGATTAGTAGCAGAAATTAGCTTAGCATGGTGAGGTAAATTAACAGTCCTACGGATTAGGATAGTAAAGTGGAAATCAGAATTCACTACAGAAATTATGAATCCGTTTATCAAAGGAGAAAACTATGAAACTCTCAAGGTAAAATTATGAGTAGTAAGGCTCGCTGGGAGTAGAATGCAGTAACCAGTATCATATATCAGTTATTATTTTCTCAAATAAATCTAATCTAATAACAATTTGTGTTTTTTCAGATAGTTACTTCCTGCTTTCTTCTACCAACTTTTCTAAGAAGTTCCCCAAGCAAATGAAGGATAACAGGATGATACAATAATCACTCAGGTAACTAAAAGAAACTTTCAACAACAAATATTAAAATGTCAACTTGTTCATTGGTCAAACTTCTCAGTTTGCAGAAAATTGGATGTTACATAACACTAACTTCCTTTTAGGAATATTAGCATGAATATAATCACCTGAATTACTAAATACAGAAAAAGAACCAGAAGAGGTCATCGTACCGCAATGAAACACTGATTTTTCATCGACCAGTAATCTGCCGAAATTCAATGTTTCATTTTCTGTCAATAGACTCGATTATGTATAATTTGTATCCATACGTGTCTTCATCAGATATGCCTTCCTCACATCTAGTTGTTCTATTTCGCTAATTAAATAGGAAGGGAGATTCTTGGCAGCATTTACGAACAGAAATTGACTTATAAGAGCACATCTAAAATGATATTGTAATAATTATGGGGTATTTTGTCTTCTGA